GATCTCATTCGTTAACATCTCGGTGCACACCGGTCCAAATGGTTGTGCGAATGCCAAACCCGCATTCGTGTTTCCGAGATCTCTCGTCGCAACGGGCTTCCTTCTGCACAGAAGGAAATCAAACTTTCGCTCAGCAACCGGCAACTACCTGGCACGGCAGCAAAATCATCCACAGAGTGTGCTCAGATCCAATGTGTCCGACGTGGTGGCCGCGGCTGCACGGCAAACAGCAATCACGTTTGCAGGGGCTGGGCCAGGAATACACTCGCGCTCGCAATCATTGCGAATAAAGGAAAACTAAGCACAAGGAGACAGTGAAGACGTAGCCTAGCTTAACTCCCCGTGGGATCATCAAGATGGGCGATCTGGCCTGATAGGTCTTCTTTAAGAGACCCCTATCCATCATGGCTGGCGCCTCCTGCCTTAGGTCCGCTTCCAAAGGGTTAGGGGTCCTTCGGTTGCTAATCACACGCGCTCTCTGCAACGCGCGAAGACAAACCGCCAATTCACTCTGCTCCCGGTGCATCGGACCGATGCACCTGTACCAATCGACCACCCTGCGCCTGCATGCGCTGCCCCACCGACCAGCAATACCACAACGCAAAACGCCGCTCACGCCAAAGCGGGCACAGCGACCATAGCGGCAGCCGGTCAACCCGTTTCCGAGGCATACGACGCGCCCGGCACCTCGCCGTACCCGAGCGGCTGTCGCGCAGGACGGTACCGTTCTAGCAGGGACCGACCGTCCCGGCCTTCCGAAAGGCTTACCACGAAGTGTTCTTAGAACCCAGAAATGTTCTAAGAACAAAAACAATGTTCTCAGAACATTAACCCGATGCGTTAAACAAGAAAATGCATATAGGCCAGAAGTGTTCTAAGAACATTTCGGGGAAACCGCAAGAGTTTCTTAGAATATTCTTTGGTGGGACTACAGGCGAGCCAAGACGCTTCGCCACTGCTTGAATCGTGATCGCCCTGCCGGGGAAGCCCGGCACCCTGGTGCGCCAGGGCCCGCGCGCTCAGCCACTCACGGTGCGCGCTGGCGCGCTCAGGCCGCGGCAACCCTCCACGGGGCACAGGCTGGCCGCCACCCTGCCTCCGTCCCCACGTGGCTGCACGCCGGGGGGCACAAGGATAGCCCCCCAAACCCACCCTCTGCTCACCCTGCTTCTCTTGGCCCTCGCCCTCCCTCGAGGAAGAGCCAGGGTATGCGCATCGCTCGGAATTGCTGAGGGGGACGCAGGGGGTTAGAGGCGGAGGGCAAGCACACGAATCGAAAGTGCAAGGAGGAGAGGTGAGTGGGCAGGACGTCCACGCTCGTGGTAGACCTACCTTACCGTCGGGGCGTTGACCTAAGGAACCCAAAATAAGGAACGAGGCCCCTTTCTCCAGTAGATACACTTCGACCTCCCATCGAAAACCTAAGAAAAACCTGAGGCAAACTGTGAAACAATCAAGGAACACCAAGCCCCTCCTCAACGAAAAGGGTTCCTTCTTCAGCGCCCCGACTGTATTGCCTGATTGCCCAGTCCAGCACTCCAGTCCACGCTGCATCCACCCACCAATCCGATCCTCTCTGCTCCACCTGCCTTCCTTCCGACTTGGCCCCGAAGGGAATCCGCAGGATCGGAAAGGAACGGGGGGAAGCTTCCTCTTGCGGGTGCGGTGGAAGTTCCAAACCTCGGCCCACTTGACCTAGGTATCACCCTGGAGCCCTCGCCTCGAAATCGATTGGCAACCTGCACCTGAAAAGAGGAGAACGGTGGCGAGCAAAAGAGAGGACGAAGAGGGAGGACGAAGAAGAAAAGGCAAGAATAACATGAGTGCGCTGGAGCGCGTTCTTTCCACGGCTCGCAAATATGACGCCCGTCACCGTGTACGCCCCCCCTCTCCCCTTCCACCACCCACCATGGTGAACGTCCAAATTCGCACCACCGCCGCCCGGGAAAGGCCACGGGGAGCTCATTCCCGGACGGCGCTGGGGCCAATCGTGACGTCGCGGCCCCCCCTGTCCACCCAGAGGAGGAGGAGAGGTTGGACCGTGTCGGGAACCGTTCGGAGCACCTGAGAACCATTTCGGAGGCCTCTTGGGCCCTGCTGGAGGAACTCTTGGACGCCTTCCGGGCCATCTTGGAGCCCGCTGGGCTCAGCTTTGGGGCCCTCTTGGAGCCCTTCATGTGAACGGCCGTCATCGCGAGAGCATAGAAAGACTGGACCCTGACGTCGAGAGCGAGCAAAGCGAAGCGGCGAGAGGCTCGCGCCAGCCCGACCGTGAAGAGGGGGCCAATCGG